TCCTCTCTCGCTTCCCTCAGTAACCTGGGATAGATCCCATCCGGACCTGGGGACTTGTCCACCCTAATGCCTTTTAGAATACCTAACATTTCGCCCCTCCTTATGCCGACTTGACCTAGAGTAATCAAACATCTATCCTTAACCTCAACATCCGTCATATCCCTCTCCTCGATGAATACCGACGCAAAGTACTCATTAAGAATCTCACTCATTTTCTCTGACTCCTCACATAACTTCCCTCCTTTTTCCTTGAAATTTTAATTTGCTACCTTTCTCTCATGTCGAGCTCTGTCCTTGGCCATGTTCAATGAGGTTCAAAGCAAGTCCTGGGAAAGGCACTTTATCTTTGTTAGGCACTCTACAGACTTTTGGGCTCAATAGTGGTCTCAGTTCAAAAACATTGTCCCATTTTGTTTCTCTTTTCTTTGCAAATCTTGTTTTTATTATAGTTTGTCTATTGTTTTTGCATTCAGATCTCCTCTCGACACAACTTTTGTTTATTTATGTTCCATCATAAGATCACAGAAATAGGAGTAGGCGTGCAGCCCGCTGTAAACTAAACTCAACATTTCTGCTCCCCTCCAATCACCCTTGAAGATCAAAGATATGTTCAAATCAGTCTTGAAAATATTCGATGGCTCAGCCTCTGCTGGGGAACAGAATTCTAAAGATGAACGATTCTCTAATAGAAGAAATATCTCTTCTCAGTAAATTTCAAGTGATTATGGAAAAGGACAAAAATGAACTATATACAAAGGCTCTGGACTGAGAACAGTTCAACTTCAGTGCGATAAGACGGGATAGGAAAATCCACATCAAAGGAGTGGGAGTCTTTCAAAAGGAAAGAGAGGAGTGCAGAGCCAACATGTTCCCACAGAGGTGAAGAGTAGGAACAACAAGTTCAGAGAACTCTCAATGTTACAGGATTGGATAAGGAAAAAACAATGAAGCTTGTGGTACTTAACGAGCACAAGAGGTGTATAGAATGTGAAGGAGTTGCTCAAGAAAGAAATTAGGGTGTGAAAAATATTGGCAGGCAAAATAATGGAAAATCCAAAAGCATTTTAAAATTTTAGTAAGGGCAAGAAGATAACAAAAAAGGTTATTATTCAATTATTCAAAAAGGGTGGTAAGGATAAACCAGGGAACTACAGTTGAGTCTAAGATCAGTGGTAGGGAATCTAAAGGAAAACATTCCAAGGACAGAGTGAATCTCCACTTGGAAAGCAAGGACCAATCAAGGATAATTAACATGGCTTTTGTCAGGGAAGATCATGTCTGATAGGTTTGATACTTTCAAGGATGTGACTAGATGTGTACATGAGGGTAGGGCATTGGATGTAGTCTACATGGACTCCAATAAGACTTTTGACAAGATGTCCCATGGGAAACTGGTCCAGGTGGTAAGATGGGAACTTGGGCCATTTGGCAAATTGGCTCCAAAACTGGCTTTCAGGCAGGAGCAGTGGGGATGGTCGAAGGTTAATTTTATAACTGGAAACCTGTGGTCAGTGACATATTGCAGGAGTTGGTGCTGGATTCTTTGCTGGTTGATTTGTATATTAATGACCTAAATATGAATGTAGACACTATGGAAAGGATGTAATTGATGTTGCAGATCAGATTCACCAAGTTGTTGTCTGAAATGGAATGTTTCAGCTATGAAGAGAGACTACATAGGCTGGAATTGTTATCCTTTGAGCAGACACAACTATGGGAAGACCTGACTCAGTTAACAGAATTATGAGAGGCATAGGCTGATAGGAAGAAGCTTCCCCTTGGAAGAGGGGTAAGTAACCTGGGGAATGGATTTAAGGTAAAGGGAGGAATGGATGTAAGAGAAAAATTAGTTGACCCAGAGGGATGTCAGGTATCTGGAACTCTGCCTAAAAAGGTGGTAGAGATGAAAACCATCACAATATTTAGAGTCATAGAGATATATGGCACAGAAACAGACCCACCAGCCCAACTCGTCTATGCCGACCACATATCCTAAATTAATCTAGTTCGATTTGCCAGCATTTGGCCCTTATCCCTCTAAACCGTTCCTATTTATATACCCATCCAGATGCCTTTTAAATGTTATAAATTGTACCAGCCTCCATCACTTCCTCAGGGAGCTCATTCCATACAAGTACCACCCTCTGCATGGAAAGGGTGCCCCTTAGGTCCCTGATGAATGCTTCCCCTCTCACCTTGCCCTCTAGCTTTGGAGTCCCCCACCCTGGGGAAAAGATCTTGTCTACTTACCCCATCCATGCCGCTCAAGATTTTATAAGGTCACCCCTCAGCCTCTGACGCTCCAGGAAAATAGCCCCAGTCTATTCAGCCTCTCCCCATAGCTCAAACCCTCCAACCCTGGCAATATCGTTATAAATCTTTTCCAAACCCTTTCAAGTTTCACAACTTCCTTCCTGTAGCAGGGAGACCAGATTGGCATGCAGTATTCCAATGTCCTGTACAACCACACATGACCTCCCAATTCCTCTACTCAACAAACTGACCAATAAAGGCAAGCATACCAAATGCCTTTTTCACTATCCTAACTATCTGCCACTCCATTTTCAAGGAACAATGAACCTGCACTCCAAGGTCTCTTTGATCAGCAACTCTCCCCAGGACCTTACTTTTAAGTGTATAAGTCCTGCTCTGATTTGCCTTTCCAAGATGCAGTACCTCACATTTATTTAAATTAAACTCCTCCATCTGCCACTCCTCAGCCCAGTGGCCCATCTGATCAAAATCCTGTTGTACTTCGAGGTAACCCTCATTGTCCACTACACTTCCAATTTCGGTGTCATCTGCAAACGTACTAACTATACCTCCTATGTTCACATCCAAATCATTTATATAAATGACAAAAAGCAATGGACCCAGCATCAATCCTTGTGGCACACTGTCGGTCACAGGCCTCCAGTCCGAAAAGCAACCCTCCACTACCACCCTCCGTCTTCTACCTTCGAACCAGTTTTGTCTCCAAATAGCTAGTTCTCCCGCTTTTCCATGTGATCTAACCTTGTTAACCAGTCTACCACGAGGAACCCTTGTCGAACACCTTACTAAGGTCCATATTGATCATATCGATTGCTCTGCCCTCATCAATCCTCTTCGTTACTTCTTCTAAAAACTCAATCAAGTTAATGAGACAAGATTTCCCATGTCCAAAACCATGTTGACTGTCCCTAATCAGTCCTTGCCTTTCCAAATACATGTAAATCCTGTTTAAAAAGCATTTAGATAAACATTTGGAACGTGATAATATAGAAGGCGTAATATACATTTAGTGGGACTAGATAGGTGCTTAACGACCAGCGCAGACACAATGGGCTGAGGTGTTTTTTTTCATGCTGCAAAACTCTATGTCTATCTCAGTCTTAAATGAGAGGCCCCTTATTTTGAAACTATGCCCCAAGGTCTAGATCCCAGGAATATCCTCCCAGCAGCCCTTTGGTCTTCCACCACCAGCTGTTTTGTTCTTTAATCTGTCTTTCACCGTGCACTCTCTTTTCTCGTTTTTCTGCCTGCTCCACTTTCACTTGCTCAAAGCTACATTCTAACTTTTCACAGTTCTGACGCAAAGCCATTGATATGAAATGTTGACGCTGTTCCTGTGCCCAGAGATGCTGTTGGACCTGAAACATATTTCCAGATTTTTCAGTTTTAATCTCAAACCAACGAATGTGTTTACTCAGTTTACATAGCATTATTTAGATTGGTGCAGGAGTCAGTTTGTCTCCACGAGATTGGCACGGGCTGAGTGACACTGAACATGCATTTAAAAATTGATGTAACCAAACACTGTCATAGGCTCCAGTTCCTTACATTTAAGAATAGAGTCAAAATACTTTGAATGCTGGAAATCTGAAACAAACTGAGAGAATGTTTCCTCCTCAATGTCCAAAGCCTTAAACAAATCTTGCAAGTGATGCAGCATTTCATTTGTACTTTTTTCAATGTAGTGCTCTGCATGTGCTGCTCACAATGTGGTCTCCTTTACATTGGTGAGAGGAGACACAGATTAGGTGACCACTTTGCAGAACACATCCATTCTATCCGTAAGAATGTCTCTGACCTCCCAATTGCTTGCCATTTCAATAATCCATCTTGATTTCACACTAACATTTCTATACTGGGCCTGCTACAATGATCTAACAAAGCACAATAGAAACTCAAGGAATAACATCTCATCTTCTGCTTTGGCACTTTAGAGCCTCGAGGGCTCAAGATTGAATTCTGTACCTTCAGAAACTGACAGTATGATGTTTGTTAGAGACAACAAGGTGCAGGGCTGGATGAACACAGCAGGCCAAGCAGCATCATAGGAGCAGAGAGGCTTTTTTCTTATATTCTCTCCCACATCCCCACTTCCACAGCCTTCTCTTGGTTGTGTCTTGGTTAATTTTTCTCTTGGTAGAAAGGACCCATTCTTTCCCTTTCACACTTCAATTTACACCTATTTTACATCTCCTTTTCTCTCTCTCCACCATTAATAACCACTTTCGATTTTGTACTAGGCCTGTACTTCTGACAAAAATACAAAATAAATTCTCCCAACACCTTTCAGTTCTAAAGGAGAGAGTCAGTGGCACATTTACCATGTTTCTCTCTCCACTCAGGGCTGCTGAGTTTTTCTACCATTCTCTGGGTTTGTCTCACAATTAAGAAGTGAGTTCAACTAATGATGCAATAGTAGTGGCATTAAAGTAATGCCCAGCACTGACAGCAATAATACTTGAACAAAATATAGCAACAATACTACTTGTATGGCATTATGTTAAAACATGATGCTGGTATTCATTTTATATTTAATTCATTTACAATGCTGCACTCATGCCACCATGCAGTGTTACTGTCCCTAGAAATAAGCAACATTTTTCTGGCAACCTAAATGGCCTCTTAAAATATTTTTATACTTGCCTCTTTCAATGCAGAGAATTAAAATAAACTTTACAAATTTCCAGAAGGTCAAGTTAAATAGTTTTATATTAAAAACAACTTACTTCCACTGAGCCTATTTTTCTGGATCGTGGCTGTGGGGATTTTCGGTGTATGTATATGGGATCAGAGACCATTGGCCTGAACAACAATGTACTTTTTTCAGCATCTTCCCTTCTTGAAACTGAATCCTCCTCATTTTCATTTGCCAGGAAGGTTTTGCTTCCATTGTCACTCTATTATTAAAGGACAATTGTTACTCTTACAATATTATTGGAAAAACCAATTTCTATAATATATTTTTTCTCTCCATAAAAGAAAAACAGTGCCCATCTTTAACTTAAGAAAAATCTTAAGAAATACTTAATACACAAATGTTTCATCATACAAAAAGTAATAATATCCATACCGGAATTTTATTGATGCTTTTGTAAAACAGACAATTTTCTTAACCTACATGAAGACCCTAAAGGTCAATCATGCTTCTTGCTAAGTTGCTGTTTGACATAAAGAGAAAGCTAACAACCTAGAGGAACTCAACAGAAAAAAAGGTGAAATCAATGTTGAAGACTGGCCTGCTTATTAGTTGGGAATTAACAAAACTGAAACAAAGCAGAACAAAAACTGAGGAAATTATGGGTGAAAACTCCCTTTTAATAACTGTACAACCGTACTGGTAAAATTATATCTTCCATTAAAATAGAGAGAGTACTAGCAGTAACATGTATTTCTTCTTAAAACATAAATCAGGAAATAAATGACCTTATGGGCAAACCAAATAGTCAACATAAAGATGCTAACAAACTTCAATAAATTTGCTATTAAAGATCTCAATAGGACAAAATTAACATTGTACACAATGGGATACTATCAATTGCTTGGTGCACACAAATGGAACATTGCTGAAACAGGGTACATGTTGCAGAAGCTTTTCACCTTATATTAATCAAGATAAATGCAAGAATTCCAAATTTAAATTGATCACATCAACTTATACTACAAGAGAAAAGGGTGATGAATCAATGTAATATAAATAAATAATTTGGATGAAAATATTGGTGGTCTGATTAGTAAGTTTGCAGAGTACATGGAAATTGAAGAAGTTATGGATAGTGCAAATGGTTGTCGAAGGATACAATAGGACATAGATCAGTTGGAAAATTGGGTAGAGAAATGGCACATGGGAGGTTAAACCAGACAAGTGTGAGACAATGTATTTTGGGAGGTCAAATGCAAGAAGGAAGTATACAGTAAACGGCAGGACACTTGGGAGCATGGATACACAAAGGGATCTTGGGATGCAAGTCCACAGCTCCCTGAAAGCGGAAACACAAATTAACGAGGTGGTAAAGAAGACGTACAGCATGCCACATTCACTGAGGTGTTGAGTATAAAAGCTGGCAAGTCATGTTGCAGCTTCATAAAATTTTAGTTGGGCCACATTTAGTGTGTGCAGTTCTGGTTCACACACTGCAGGAAGGATGTGGAGGCTTTGGAAAGGGTGCAAATAGGCTTACAAGAATGTTGTCTGGATTGGAGTATATTAGCTAAAAGGTAAGGTTGGACAAACTTGAATTGTTTTCATTCGTGTCGGAGCTGGAGGTCAAGGGGCTACCTGTTAGAAGCATTTAAATTATGAGAGGGACAGGATGGATAGTTGGAGTCTTTTTCCTAGGATAGAAATATCAAACACTTTGGTGGGGGGAGGGGGAGTATAGGTTTAATATGAGAAAGGCAAAGTTTGAAGGTGTGCGAGGCAAGTTTTTAAACTCAAACGCTAGTAGCTGCCAGTCAGAGAATCCTTACAGTGCAGATAGAGGCCATTCGGCACATTCAGTCTGCAGTGGCCTTTCGAACAGCATCCCATCCTACCTCATAATTGCATATTTACCATTGTTAATCCACCTAGCCTGCACATTCCTGTATGCCATGGGGTAATTTAGCATAGCCAATCCACTTAACCTGCAGATCTTTGAACTGTGGGAGGAAACCAGAGCAGCCAGAGAAAAGCCACACAGACTTGGACAGAATGTGCAAGCTCCTCACAGACAGGTCGGGGAGGTGATGGCCTAGTGGTATTATTACTGGACTGTTACTCTAGAGACCCAGGAAATGTTCCGGGAACGTAGGTTCAAATCCTACCACGGCAGATGGTGGAATTTGAATTCAATAAAAATCTGGAATTACGAGTCTAATGATGACCATGAATCCACTGTCAATTGTTGGAAGTACCTATCGATTCACTAATGTCCTTTAGGGAAGAAAACTACCATCCTTACCTGGTCAAGCCTACATGTTCCTCCAGGCCCACGCAAAGTGGCTAACTTTTAACTGCCCTCTGGGCAATAAGGGATGGGTAATAAATGCTGGCCTAGCCAGTGCCATCTACATCCCATGAGTGAATAAAAATAAAATCTAAGGCTGCATGGCAGTCTGTGTGGAGTTTGCACTTGCAGATGGTAGAAGCAGATACAATAGCAAAGTTTAAGAGGCATTTCAACAGACACATGAACAGGCGGGGAATAGAGAGATAGTGACCATGTGCAGGCAGGCGGGATTAGTTCAGAATAGCATCATGGTTTGCACAGACATCGTGGGCCAAAGGGTTTGTTCCTATACTGTACTGTTCTATGTTCTATGACTCTTATTGGCCAAAGCTTTCCCAAGGGCTCAAATTTTTGTATAATTCAAACAAGGTATAAAGCTTAAACATATTCCCATTCTTTGCAGAAAATGTATCCACCTCATGAGAATGTATGTTGTTGCTACTAAATGTAGATGAGCCATATTACAAACTCAATTTTTTTTATCTTAAACTGGTCGTTGGTGCAGCCAGTGCTACCCAATTGTTGAATGATATCTAAGAATAGATATTTTAAAGAGTCATATAGCACGGAAACAGACCCTTTGGTCCAACCAGTCCATGTCGACCATAATCCCAAACTAAACTAGTCACACCTGCCTACCCTTGGCTCATAGCCCTCCAAACATTTGTTATTCATGTACTTATCCAAATGTCCTTTAAACATTGTAACTGTATCCGCATCCACCACTTCTTCTGGAAGATCATTCCACACGCAAACCACTCCCTGTGTAAAGAAAATTGCCTCTCATGTCTTTTTAAAATCTTCCTCCTGTCACCTTAAAATATGCCCTGTAGTCTTAAAATCCCCCACACAAGGAAAAAGACACCTGGCATTCATGTTTTCTATACCCCTCATGATTTAATAAACCACTATATGGTCACCCCTCAACCTGCTATGCTCCAATGAAAAATGTCCCAGCCTACCTAGTCTCTCTTTATAACTCAAAGCCTTCATTCCTGGGAACATCCTGGTAAATCTCTTCTGACCCCTCCCCAGCTTAATAATCTCCTTCAGGGTGACTAGAACTGGAAAGAGGTACTCCAGAAGAAGCCTCACCAGTGTCTTGTACAACTTTAACATAGCATCCCAACTCCTATGCTGAAAGGTCTTAGCAATGAAAGCAAGTGTGCTAAACACCTTCTTAACCATCCAATTGATATGTGACGCAAACTTAAAAGAATTATGTACCTGAATTCATAGGTCTCTCTGTTCTACAATACTACCCAAGGCCCTACTTTTAAATTTAAATGTTGATCTTGCTCTTTGTGCACCTTCTCTGTAGCCATAATATCATGTTTCTGGCTCTGTTCTATTATCCTAATGCATTTTGTCTGGTATGATCTATCTGTACTGTACACAAAACAAAACTTTTCACTATACTTAAGCATGTGACAATAAAAAAATCAAATCAAATAAGTCCTGCCCTTGTTTGCTTTACTAAAATGCAATATCTCACATTTATCCAAATTGAAGTTCATCTGCCATTCATAAGCCCGTTGACCCAATTAATCAACCTTCTTCACTGTCCACTATACCACCAATTTTGGTGTCATTCGCAAACTTACTAAGCAGCACTAACACATAAATGAATTTGATTATTCATTTATATGAATGACAAACAACAGTGGTCCCAGCATTAATCTCAGTGGGACACCGCTGGTCAAAGGCCTCCAATCCAAACAACAACCTTCCACCATCGCTCTCTGTCTCCTGCCACTAAGCCAATTTTGTACCCAATTGACAACCTCACCCTGAATCCCTTGTGATTTAACTTTACTAATTTTTCTACCACACGGAACCTTGTCAAATGCTTTACTAAAGTCCAAGTAAACAATGTCTACCACTGTGCTCTTATCAATCTTCTTAGTTACTTCTACAGAAAACTCAAACAAGTTTGACAGACACGATTTCTCTTGCACAAAACCATCATTCCTTGCCTCTCCAAATGCACATAAATACTATCTTTCAGAATCACTTCCAACAACGTACCCACCACCGAAATCAGACTCTCATGTCTATAGTTCCCAGGTTTCTCCTTATGTTTTGGTTTGGTTTTTGCAATTACCAGCTGGTTGAGTACAATCTATACTGTCTTTTATTAACAACCAAAGGAATATGCTATTTGATTCAGTCAGCCATTTGCTGTGATGTAGCATGACTTACTTAACCTGTTTAAATTTGACACTTTAAAAGAGTAAGGACTGCAGATGCTGGAAGCTAGAATCAATAAATTGAAACTGGAAAAGCCCGAAACGTTGACTTTCCTGCTCCTCAGATGCTGTCTGACCAGCTGTGCTTCTCCAGCTCCACATTTACATTTGACACTTTGTCTGAATGAAGAAAACCCAAAGACAAAGACAGAACAGGTTTATGCAACTCAAAAAATAACAGCTAGCATCGATGTGAAAGAAATGAGAACAGCACTGAAAGGAAAGAAAAAGAAAGCAGTTGTCATAGATGAGATACCAATGCAAATATGGACAAGCCTGGGTGAACATTGAACTCAAGTGAATAACAAATTGTTGCTATGAGTAGAGAAAGCATGAAAGCAAAACATTTTGTAACCAATGTTGAAAGGTCATCCAAGATTACAAGTATGATTGAGGAATTAAATCCCATCACGTATCTTCAAGGGTTGGGAGAGTGTCAAGGACCACGTACTGAGATAAATCATGGAAATCCATGAAGGTCAATTTGAATTTATGCCTAGAAGCACCACCATTTCTGCTTCAAGACAAGATGAAAAAATATTACGAAAGCCAATGCAACATGAAGATTGTATTCATCAATCTGGAGAAAGTTTATGATCAGATGTCAAAGGAACAATTCTGGAGATGTGCAGGAGTTAGTGGAGTTCTTGAGGAGTACATACAACTAATACAAGACCTGTATAGGGAGTGCCAGACAAGAGTATGAAGCAATGGGGGAAGAGTTTCAAAACCCAAGTTGGACAACTCCAAAAAAAAGTTCTGCACTGAGGACCTTCCTTTTCCTGATTGTCTACAGACATTATTGACCATGGCACTTCCCTGCCTCACTTGCTTAGCACATCTTTGACACTCTTGAACTATTCAGTGGGAAAGATGAGAATATGACCAAGTATCTCGCAACATGGATAAAGCACCAGAAGACAGGACTATGACCCTGACAACTTTAGACCCAATTTGTGTACTGTCAGTTTGAACCTAGGAAAGAAACATAGGAACAGGAGTAGGCCATTCAGCCCACCAAGCCTGCTCTGCCATTTAACACGATCGTGGCTCAAACACTCCAATGTCTTTTACCCACACTATCCCCAAAACTCATTATGCTCTTAATAATCAACAATTTATCAAACTGCACTGTAAATATACTCAAAGACTGAGATTCCACATCAGTCTGGGGAAGAAAGTTCCAAAGACTCACCATCCTTTTTATGTTAAATTGTACCTCGTTGTTCTAGACTCAACCAGAAGAAACACCTCATATGCCTTGTTTGTTCTTTCAGGTATTTTCTAAGTGTCAATTAGATCACCTGTCATTCATTGAAACTCCAAGAGAATACAGTGTCAGTTTATCCACCCTGTCATCAGAGGACAATCCCACCATCCTAGAAATCATTTTGCTGAGTCTACTTTGCACTCCCTCTATAGCAATAAAAATCCTTCCAGAGATACTAAAACTGCACATAGTACTCTAGATGCAGTCTAATCAAGCTTCCATACAATTGAAACAAGACTTCGGTATTCCTTTACTCAAATTGTCTTGCAATAAAGGCGAAAATTCTTTTAGCATTCTTAATAGCTTTCTGTACCAGCATCTGAACTGTCAGTGACTACTGACAAGAAAACTCAAATCCCCTTGTACACCTACACTTTCTAACCTTTCACCATTTAAGTATTGCACTGCACATTAGTACTTCCTAACAATGTGGATAGCCACATATTTTCCCACATTATATTCTATGTTTCTGCTCAATCACCAAGTCTGTCTAAATCATCCTGATAATATTTCACTCAACACATGCCTGCTTATCTTTGCATAATCTGCAAATTTGAAAATATTACATTTTGTCCCCATATCCAAACCATTGATTTATATTGTAAATACCTGGAACCCCAAATATTGACTGTGCAATACCCCAACAGTTATTGTCTGCCAATGCGAGAATGACCCATTTATTCCAACTCTATTTTCTGTCTATTTTCTGAAATCAGAGGTCCAATGATAACTGGTGGGAGACAATGTCAGAGATACTTTAAGTGGCAATGTAAGAGACCCAAAATATGATAGTTGAAGAAATAGATAAGGAAAAGTGATTGTGTGTGTACAAGTAAATATCTAAAACACTGAAGCAACAGTTATTAGATAGGAATTTGGAGGCAAAGTCATAGAGAGAAAAGATCACACGTTCAATGTACAGATTAAACATGAATGAATCGAAAGCATTGTTCTATTACAACTGATGAATAATAGCAGTGGTTAAATGGTGCACTTTTATACTCAATGATGCACGCACTCTACCTTTCCAACTGATTACATTTAAACCCTGAGCTTTCACTGGAAAGAAAGGGCAATGATAAGCAGTTCAACAATTTCAATAATCCATGACACAAAGTATGGTAGGGGAACTCAATTATCCTAGGTCACTGAGTCCGAGTTTCCAATATATGCCTGAGAAAAGTTCTACCTAGAACTCCATGTATGTTGAAAGATGAATGAAATACTGGAGTAAATTGCAGGCTTGATCCTCCTCTCCAAGCACCCAGTTATGGAGCATGTTAAAAGTCTGACTTGTCACCATCAGAAGTCAATGTTCCGAGTTTTAGATGCTAGAGGGAGGATAGAAAGGGAAGCAAGGGAGGAGTGGGAATGGTGTTTTTGATTAAAGAAAACATTACTACTCTCATTGGAGAAGATATTTCTGAGGAATCGTTCAGTGAAACTACATAGTTAGGAATAAGAAAGAGATGATCACCTCGATAGGATTGTATCATAGCCGCGCCCCGTGCTCCCCCGTGCCCCGTGCCCCGCCCCCCAGTAGTCAGAGAGAAATTATGAAACAAATATATAGAGAGAACTCATATCGGTAAGAACAATAGGGTTGTAATAGAAGGAGGTTTTAATTTTCCAAACATTGACTCAGTCTGCCATCGTGTTAAAGGCTTGGATGGTGAGGCATTTGTTAAATGTGTTCAAGGAAATTTTCTTTATCAAATTATAAATGTACCTACTAAAGAAGGAGCAAAACTTGACCTTCTCTTGGGAAGTAAGGCAGGGCAAGAGACTGAAGTGTTAGCAAGGGAACACTTTGGGCCTAGTGAGCATAATTCTATTAGTTTTAACATATTTATGGAAAAGGATAAGTTTTCCATAAAAGTTAATGTTCGTAATTGGAGTAAAGCAAATTTTAACAGTATGAGGCAAGAACTTTCGAAAGTTGATTGTTGAGTTGACTATCCACAGATAGAGATAACAGACAAGTGGGAGGCTTTCAAAAGTGTGATAACAAGAGTTCAGAGGCATTATGTTCCTGCTAGAATGAAGGGTAAAGCTGGTAAGAGTAGGGTACAATAGGTGAATAAGGATATTGAAGTTCTAGTCAAGAATAAGAATCATATACGAGATATAGACAAGTGGAATCAAATGAATCTCTTTAAGAACATAAAGTGTGCAGTGACATTTTTAAGAAGGAAATCAGAAGGACAAAGAGAAGATTTGAGATAGCCTTGGCAGGTAAGGTTAAAGATAATCCAAAGAGATTCTACAAGTACATTAAGAGCAAAAGAGCAATTATACAGAGAATAGGGCCCCTTAAAGATCAATGAGGTCATCTGTGCGTTGAACCTCGAGATGAACATTTCACGTCAGCTTGGAGAAAGAAATGGAGATTAGAGAACTGGATGCTCAGATTGGTGCTATTGGGAAAAATTGATATCAATATAAATAACTTTGTTTGCATAATTTGAATATAGTTTGGATTGCCTTGGGTCTCGAATAGGCCCCCAGTAGATTCTAAGCACCATTAATCTGTGTTAGAACCTTCTGCATTTATTATGCTTTGCTTTCTGTTCTAACTACAGCTAGCTAACTACATTATTATCATATTGCTACCTTCACATACCAAATTTCAATATTATTTTAATAATTAAGATCAATTTTTAGTCAATACCCTAATGCATGAATTAGTTTTTCTTCAAATAACGTACAAGTGCTTCATACTGTTTTCCCTTCTTATGTCGGAGTAACTAGTCTGATTACTATATGTCAGAAACGTGAACCCAGATCTTCCAGTCTTTGGGATTACAAGAGACTGATTGTACCCTGAAAGATGCCAGTCAAGTCCCAATGCAATGACTACATGGTACCTAAGATTAAACATTTAACAAGTAATTATCTGGTTTCTAGGAAATCATTCACAACTGACTTAGAATCAGACACTTCAAAGGGGTCCAACTTATTTAATTTACCAGGAAGGAAAGCTAGCTAGGGCATGTTAGAGCAAATGAAACTTGTGCTAAATCCTTGGTAACTATAAAATTCACCTCCAATTATTCTCATGAATGCATACCCTCTTCATACACTTCGGTGGTCACAACTGAAACAAATTCCCCTATTAAGGGCTTACTGCCACCTATATGACCTCACATAGTTGTCATCCTGCCCCCACACCCTTCATCGTCCCACCCCTTTATTCAGTTACCTTACATACTTTCTTTCTCTCAGTAGCTGTCAAAGTGGTGTCGGGGTCCTTAAGCATTTTACGTTCTTGAATATTACTGTTGTAATAAAAAAGACTTCGGCAGCGACTCACTGCTGTATGGTTTGCTACACTACTTCTGTTGGGATGGATTCCCCATTGAACATCCAGGCCAAAAAACCATGCAAATCTTATCTAGGTATGAAATAGGGATTTTGACCCATATTGGAAGAGCTGGGTGATAATAATTCAATACATGAATAAACCACAATTATTACATTTCACATTGAAAATAAAACTCTCAAAATATAAACAAACCAACAGAAGACTCCTCAAAAATGAGTACCTCATGAGAGGCTGGTCTGTATCCAAAACCTGATGGAAGATTTTTATCTTCCTCACATCCTTTAGCACCAGGACTGAAGTGTAATTCAACATGAAAGCGTTCCTCTGAAGAAGGATCCTGAAAGTTAAGGTTTTGAGAAACAAATTTCTGGAGTGCTGAACAAAACAAGTTAAATACTTAATACCCATGAAATTGCATTAACTCTGGCCAAGTGGGCAAATGAGCAACTTCTGATTGGCCTTCACTAATACCACTCTAAATAAACTATCAGATGAACAGTAGTTTATCTGGCCTCTAATCAATAGCACCTTAATGCAATGTAGTTGAAACAGCTTGCTACCTTCAAGTACTACTTTGACTTTGTAAGACTGACATTTTTAAAAATAATAATTCCATTTTATGAAAAGAAACAAAAGGAAACTCAACTGATATTTTAAAGTCCAACTGGGTACCCCACTGTGTAATTATCTTACTACATGCAACGTATGCTATTAATTAAATATATACAAAGTTAACAAAATGTTTTGATGCATTCTATTTCTGTGTCAAGCCTGCAAGGTAAGCAAATGACTCAGCACCTATTTATAAGATGGTTCACAAGACCAATCTTATTGTGCATACAGCAATATGAATCTCAATGTACACAATAACCAGTAAAAATCTGTTTGCAGTAGACAGCAATGGAGAACCAAATTTGGATTTTCCAAAAAGCAAATGGAGGAGAGGATCATGTAAGACCCCTTTCCCATAAAAATGAACATGAGTATGAGTATAAGGTGATATAATATTAAATGTGTACATTGCTCTCTATGCTGTCTGACACTACTGTTGACGTCAAGCCTACGTTCACCAATCAATGCAGGTTAGGCACTTAACTGACCAGAGTGCTGGGCCTTTTCGGGGATTATGGACCATGGAGATAGAAAATCCAAGAGCTGCTAATTAGTTAGAGGCCAGGGGCTTTCTGTTGCTGACAGCAGCACTGGTAATAGACGTTGCTGTCAATAACATACTAAATATTTCACCAGGGACAATTGCTGGATTCCCGGGCACAGGTGTGTGTTATGGATTAGATTCATGGGGAGCAAGTTGCTGCAGAAAGGTGCACTGGTGTTAAGAGGCAAGGGTGGGGACAGGCTTGCAGAAACACTGCATCCCTTCCTGATGCCACAATCCATCATTAGGTACTGAGTTCCTGATCCATTTTGGCTTCCTCTTGAATTCCCCAGCACTACTGCACGGGTAATGGACAGTGATAACATTCTAGTAATTGTATTGAAGATAGCCAAAAGGGGATCATGCAAAACCTAAGTTGCTTAACTTTTAGGGTAGCTTATTGATGAAAGTCATATGAAAGATCTAATTGAGAGAAGAGATGAGATTGGAGTCTTATGACAACGTGATTAAAGAAAGATGAGATCTGAGAATAAGGTGTAAAGATCTAATTGAAGGCAAACTAGTAATTCATGTGAGCTTTTTGTAACTGTATGAATGAACTGCTGAAACATCTTACTGGAAAAAATCTTATGGCCAAGTATCATTTTGTCTCTTATTCTGGGTATCGGAACAAATCCTCATCATTACACTTGTATAACAGAATTAGTGTAATTTAAACAAAACCATTCCAGTACAGTTAAAACAGTATCACGTACTCAGCAATGTGGAAAATTGCTTAATAATGTCATGTTGAAAAAGAGCAAATCAAACTCAACCAAATACAGGCCCACCAAAGTAAAACAAAGAATTGTAAATACTGGAAATCTGAAACAAAAATGCAGAGTGCTTTAGAAATTAAATGCATCTGGTAGCGTCTGTACCAGAAAACAGAAGTTAACATTTCTGAAGAAGGGTCTAGACCCGAAACATCAGCTTTCCTGCACCTCTGATGCTGCTTGGCCTGCTGTGTTCATCCAGCTCTACACCTTGTTATCTCAGATTCTCCAGCATCTTAACATTTCTAGTCCATTTAGAAAATTGTCCATGCTTCTATTCTTCTTACCAAAGTGCATGACCTCACACTTTCCCACATTGCACTCCAACTGCCACTTCTTTGGCCACTCTCCGAACCTGTCCAAATCGTTCTGCAGCCTCCGCACGTCCTCAATACTACCTGTCCCTCTGTCTATCTTTGTATCGTCTGTAAACTTAGCCAGAATGCCCTCAATTCCTTCATCTAGATCATTAATGTATAAAGTGAAAAATTGTGGTCCCAACACTGACTCTTGTGGAACACCACTGGTCATCGGCTGCCATCCTTAGAAAGACCCTTTTAACCCCACTCTCTGCTTTCTGCCAGACAGCCAATCTTCTATCCATGCGAGTACCTCGCCGTACAGAGCTGTGCCAATACTTTAAACCTTACCTCTAACACCCGGGGCCCTTACCTTACTCAGCATCCTCCTGTGCAGCACCTTGTCAAAGGTCTTATTGAAGTCGAGGTAGATAACATCTATTGGCTCTCCTTGGTCTAACCTGCTCATTACTTCCTCAAAGAATTCTAACAGATTTGTCAGGCATGACCTCCCCTTGACGAAGCCATGCTGACTTTGCCCTATTTTACCATGCACTTCCAAGTATTTAGAATTCTTATCCTTCACAATGGACTCGCAAATCTCACCCACGACCAAGGTTACGCTAATCGGCCTGTAATTTTCAGTCTTTTGTCTTACTCCCTTTTTAAACAGGGGTGTCATATTAGCAATTTGCCAGTCCTCTGGGACCCTCCCTGACTCCAGCAATTCCTGAAAGATTACCACTAACGCCTCCACCTTGTCTTCAGCTACCTCCTTAAGAACTCTGGAGTGTGGTCCATCTGGTCCTGGTGACTTATCCACCTTCAGGCCATTCTGTTTTTCGAGCACCTTCTCCTTGGTGATGGCCACCATACTCAGCTCTGCCCGCTGAATCTCTCAAATTTTTGGGATATTACTTGTGTCTTCCACCATTAAGGTTGATGCAAAGTAATTATTCAGTTCCTCAGCCATTTCCTTGTTCCCCACTACTATCTCTCCAGCATCATTTTCCTGCATTCCAATGTCCACTTTTGCTTCTCTTTTGCCCTTTCTATATCTAAAGAAACTCTTACAGTCCTCCTTTATATTACTGGCTAGCTTGCCCTCATATTTAATCTTCTCCCTCCTGATTTCTTTTTTTTTTTGTTGCCCTCTGTTGGTCTTTGTAAGCTTCCCAATCCTCTGGTTTCCAACTGCCCTTTGCCACATTATATGTTTTCCCTTTTCTCTTTTGCTTTTATGGTATCGCTGACTACCCTAGTCAGCCATGGTTGCCCCATCATCCCTGTACCATGCTTATTTTTCCGAGGGATGAATTTTTGCTGTGTCTCCTGGATTACTCCTAGAAACTCCTGCCATTGCTGTTCCACTGTCTTTCTTGCTAGGCTCCTCGCCCAGTCAGTTCTGCCCAGCTCCTCGCTCATCGGGCTGTACTACAGGCCTCCCAACAGCGAGCATGAGATAGAGGCACAAATATGTAGACAGATTATGGAAAGATGTAGGAGCAACAGGTTGGTGGTGATGGGAGATTTTAATTTTCCCAACATTGACTGGGATTCACTTAGTGTTAGGGGTTTAGATAGAGCAGAATTTGTAAGGAGCATCCACCAGGAGGGTTTTCTAGAGCAGTATGTAAATAGTCCAACTTGGGAAGGGGCCACACTGGACGTGGTGTTGGGGAATGAGCCCGGCCAGGTAGTTGAAGTTTCAGTAGGGGATTACTTTGGGAATAGTGATCACAATTCCGTAAGTTTTAGAATACTGATGGACAAAGATGAGAGTGGTCCTAAAGGAAGAGTGCTGAATTGGGGGAAGGCCAACTATGGCAAAATTCGGCAGGAGCTGGGGAATGTGGATTGGGAGCAGCTGTTTGAGGGTAAATCCACATTTGATATGTGGGAGGCTTTTAAAGAGCGGTTGATTAGAGTGCAGGACACACATGTCCCTGTGAAAATGAGGGATCAAAAGGGCAAGATTAGGGAACCATGGATGACAGGTGAAATTGTGAGACTAGCAAAGAGGAAAAAGAAAGCATACATAAGGTCTAGGCGACTGAAAACAGATGAAGCTTTGGAAGAATATCGGGAAAGTAGGACTAATCTGAAACGAGGAATTAAGAGGGCTAAAAGGGGTCATGAAATATCTTTAGCAAACAGGGTTAACGAAAATCCCAAAGCCTTTTATTCATACATAAGGAGCAAGAGGGTAACTAGAGAAAGGGTTGGCCCACTCAAGGACAAAGGAGGGAAGTTATGCAAGGAATCAGAGAAAATGAGTGAGATTCTTAATGAGTACTTTACGTCGGTATTCACTGAGGAGAGAGACATGACGAACGTTGAGGTTAGGGATAGAGTTTTGATTTTTTGTGGGTAAGGCAGGAATGGGGGGGGCGGGGGGGAGAGCAGTGTTGGGTATTCTAAAAGGAATTAGGGTGGACAAGTCCCCAGGTCCAGATGGGATCTATCCCAGGTTGCTGAGGGAAGCGAGTGAGGAAATAGCTGGGGCCTTAACAGATATCTTTGCAGCATCCTTGAG